GGTGATCGGCAAGGGCAGCGAGAAGGCCGATGACAGCTCCATCGACGAGAAGTACCTGATCGCCACCTCGGAGCAGCCCATCGCCGCCCTGCACCGGGACGAGTGGCTGAAGCCGGAGGATCTGCCCATCAAGTACGCGGGGCTGTCGACCTGCTTCCGTCAGGAGGTGGGCTCGCACGGCCGCGACACCCGCGGCATCTTCCGCGTCCACCAGTTCGAGAAGGTGAGAGGAGCGGGGTGACGTTCCCGACGGGAATTTGGGGCTGCAGCCAGGGTCGGCGCCAACACGGGGTCCCCTCCTCTTTGCAGATCGAGCAGTTCGTCTACGCCTCACCCCACGACAACAAGTCCTGGGAGATGTTTGAGGAGATGATCACCACGGCCGAGGATTTCTACCAGTCCTTGGGCATCCCCTACCACATTGTCAACATCGTCTCAGGTAGGGGCGGGGGCTTCCTCACCGCGTGGCACCGGGTGCGGTGGCCTGGGAGGACACCAGCCACCTCTGCCAGCGCCGCGGGTGTCACCGTGGCCCTGACCCACTTCCCGGCTCGGCTCTCTCTGTCCCTGGCTTGCCTTCCCGCTGGGTCTGTCCCCAGACCTGGTGAGGGAGAGGAGGTGCCTTAGCCCTGGGTGCAGAGGAAGGAGATGTTGCTTTTCCACAGGGATCCTCTGCTTTGCTCTGGGTCTGCTGGGACCGGGTGTGGGCACCACACTGTGCTGGGTCTGTCCCCACTGTCCCTTCCAGAGGGACGGTTTGAATGTCCCAACTCCTCCTGGGAATCCTCCTGAGAAAATCATCCCGTTTAAACGCCCCTTCCGGGCCTCCCCGCTGCATAGCAGGAGCTCCGTGTCCCCTCTGGACTCACCTCGGAGGCTCCACGCCATTAACACATCCCCTGGGACGGGCACATTTTGGGGGGGGAACAGGGACTCCCCCACTCAGCGCTGCCCCCCCCCCGTCTCCCAGGCTCCCTCAACCACGCTGCCAGTAAGAAGCTGGACCTGGAGGCCTGGTTCCCCGGTTCTGGCGCCTTCCGCGAGCTCGTGTCCTGCTCCAACTGCACCGACTACCAGGCACGCCGCCTGCGCATCCGCTACGGCCAGACGAAGAAGATGATGGACAAGGTGAGGCCGAGCTGCTCGGGCTGGGGGGGACTGAGGGGTTCCTCCTCGTCCCCTTCACCGTGTCACACTCCCCCCCCTTTCCTCGCTGTGTCCCCTGCTGCAGGTGGAGTTCGTCCACATGCTCAATGCCACCATGTGTGCCACCACCCGCACCATCTGCGCCATCCTGGAGAATTACCAGACAGAGGAGGGCATCCGCGTCCCCGAGAAGCTCCGGGACTTCATGCCCCCCGGTAACACCCAGCACCTTCCCCTCCTCGCATCCCCCAGTGCCCCCCGCCTCTCCCTCCCGCCAGGCTGGGGAGCAGCAGCGCCGGGGCGGGGGGGGTGATGCGTGGTGACGCGTGGTGACGCGGTGCCCGCTCTCCTCCTGCCCAGACCTGCGGGAGCTGATCCGGTTCGTGAAGCCGGCCCCCATCGAGCAGGAGCTCTCCAAGAAGCAGAAGAAGCAGCAGGAAGGGGGCAAGAGGAAGTCGGGGGGAGGGAGTGAGGGGGTGTTGGAGGAGCAGATGCAGAACATTGGGCGTGCGCCGGCCCCGCCCCCCCCCCCAGGGACCTCCCTGCCTTCATCGCCAGCTTCATTATCAGCTTGGGCTTCATCACCTCGGCCTCAGGCCCTGCCCGGGGCAGGGAGCCACCGGTCACCGCTTGCCCCCCCCGTGGCACGGAGCACCGCGCTCCCACCGGACGAAGGACTGACGCTATCAGGGCTCTGGCCCCCGCCCCCCGTTCCCCCCCGGGTGGTACCGGGGACCCTCCCTGCCACGCTCTGACCCCTTCCCCGGGGATGGAAAATGTCCCGTCCCCCCATCCAATAAAGCCAAGAGCTGCTGAGCTGCGTGTCTGGGGGGCTGGAGGGAGGGGGGGACATGCCTGAGCACATCAGTCCTGTTCCTAAAACATGAGACTGTCTTCCATAGAGCTACCTACCAGCTAACAAGAAGAAACTTAGTTAAAGTGTAATGCAGAACGCATTGGAGGCTCTGCAAAGATTTCCACTAACTTAAACTTCTCATTAGCTCCTAACTAATCTCTTTGCTGTCCATTTTAGTGGGAAAGTCAAGCAGGATCAAGCAGGATGCATAAACAAAACCCCACCTCTCCCTCCAGAGGTCAGGGGTTGCAATCTGCTGGGTAAGGATTACAGTATGTATGACAGTATTTGCATTGCTATTTCCCACCATTGAGCACAGAAGTGACCCAAGAGCATAGTCTCCAGGCCTTATCAGTGCAAGACACACACCCATGAACTTCTGCAACCTGCTGAAGTCTGTCCTTGTTTCCAGACCTGGGATAAGCCATTCCACAGGGCGTGCACTAAACCCTCCTCCTCTTGCAGCAGTGAAACATACACATTTCTGGAGACAAAATTTTGGAATCAGTCTTTGTTCTTATTTGAAATCTCAAATCTGACTTTACAACCATAAGGCTTCATCATCCTAGAAAGTAAAGGGGATGAGGGGGTGTAATCTGAGGTCAGGTTAAAGCCACTAATTTTTGCCATCCCAACTTTGCCAGATTTGGACTGACATAGCCGAGCTAACTCCAGCAGAATGAAAGATGCTCCATTAAAACAGTGTCCTTGTTAGCAGAATTTGTTTTTCTAATGATTAGAGGATGGAAAGCAGAGGGCTAAATCGTGAACCAAAGCAGAGCTTCACCAGAATAAACTGTGTCCCCAGTAGGATTGCTCTGTGACAAGTACCCTACCTGGTGTTACCGTCCAGCACAGATACGCTCTGAGCATTTCAGAGGAATCCAGGTGTTGGCTTCACATGGGCTGAAGGTTTCTTTTCCCTGCCTTAGACCTCACTCCCTAGAATTATCTTTGCTCTTAAACCACTACCTGTGTCGTGGCATCCCAGTTGCTTT